CAAGAATAGCACCGACAACACCGAACGCTTCCCACTCAACACCGCATTCCATTGGTTGCTGTCGGTAAACAACTTGGCCGTTCCCGTACACACCACCACAGAGTTGACGCTACAGTTGATCCACAAACAAATTAATTAATTACTTATGGTAATTATTATAAATTACTTATAAACAGACAACACACCTGCGTTTAAGATCAAAACCACCATCCTTGTTTGGGAACATTTCAACGAGATCTAATTGGCCATAGTTCACATCGATTATTTGATAGTCGATCTAAACCATTGTGCACAAACAAGCATAATATTATCATGATAGAAATAATACGCTAATAATAGCTTAGAGGGAATGTAGGACAAGGGTTATAGGTTACACACACACACACACACACACACCTTCCAGGCACCGGTCAAACGCTGTACGTCCGCTTTAACTAGATCCTTTTGATTGAAATGTACACAATTCTTGGTAAAGTTTGGTTTCTCGCAACCGGTTTTGTTGGGTGCCGACGGTTGCGGCGGTGAGATGTCGTTGATTACAGTAACCGCCGCTCTGGTCGTACTCTCGATGATCACCGGCTTTGGCTCCGAACTCTCTATTAAATTGTTTAAATTATACATAAAATAAATATAATTTAAGGTAAAAAACTAACAATAAATTTGTAATTTAAAAATATATTGTAATTTAATGTACAGAATATTCTGTACGTTTATAATATATGAAATACATATAATATATAATATACGACTACAGAATGCAAGCATGCAATACAAAAAATATTAAACCTAATTAAGTTTCATAAATATAATAATTATCACGTTCAGTAAACATACTTTTTCGTAGATAACGGATGCGCTGACAGTCGCGATTCATTATATCGCAGTCGACGGGCCGGATGTTGGCCACCAAATCGACCACTTTGGTCAGCGTCACGGGCTTCAGATTGCGCTCCAATAGATTCAGATACACCTCCAGTTCGGTGCCGTTGTTGGGCGCGCCCACCGTCGCGAATGTCAACGTTTCTGTCAACACACAGACAAAATACACAACCATTAGTAAAGTACACACTTTAAACCTCGTTATAAAATAGCAATACCTCTAATGCCAGTCACGCCATTGGCGTCGGTCTCAGTGCACTCGTACCATATGGTGTGGTTGGCGTCCCCGTAGAGGGTGGCGGATATACCTCGGACACCGTCCGGATACTTAAACCGAGTTAATCGGGGCGTATGGGTGTGTGTCTCGGTGGTGGTCGACACGGCCTCATTGCCTATACTATAATAAGTACAATAAATTAATTAAATTAAACTTGATAGTTTGCAATGTAACATCACTCTAATGTAGTCCACCTAGATAGATGATAGAAGGGAGGGCTGAGATTATTAATAATTACTTACATGACCTTTACATCTAGTACAACACCGTTGGCGTCGGTGGACTTGAGTACGGTCTCAATGGTATCGTATCGGACACCTCGCGGCCACTTTGTGATCCAGTCGGGCGACAGCCGGCACACTTGACCAGGTTTTGACTAGATTTACATGCATTGAAATATCATGTGTAAATAATTAGATTAAACCATATTGAAATTTTAATATAAAAATCAAACACACAATTTAAATCATTACAACATTTGACTCTCTCTCTCTCTCTTTTTTTTTCTCACACACAAGTCAATCAAACACTACCTCCCTTTAGGCACATATCACAAACTCTTCCCCCCCCCCTCACACACACATACAGTCACAAACTTACATAGTTCTTGATCGCAGCGGCCACGTCCATTAACTCCGAGTCGTCAAACCGATGACAAGTATCGGTGAGTGCGGCCCACACTTGGGCGTCGGACTTAGCACCGGGTCCAGCCGTGCCATTCAGTATCTGATCCACACGTCTGGTCACAACACCCTTTGACATAAACTTATAGTACAACTCTTCGCCAAACTTCAACTTCTCGCGCCGCACAGCGCCCGGTATGGCCCGATTGGTCACACGTCTGATCATTGACTTCAAGTCCTCGTTGGCGATCACCGACTCGTCGGCGGGTATGAGTCGGGCCAACAGTTGATAAATTTTGCCCAGAGTTTTGGGGCCCAAATTGTCGGCCACCCGATCGATATATGCGCCCAAATTACGGGGTTTGACTGTAGTGTTGCGCGAGTACAGCCATAGGGCGCCGTTGCCTACGATATCACCAGCGATCTCGTTCTCCATGCAGTGATGGGCGACCATATAGTTGTCGTAATCGGTCCATAGGATGGCCAGCCGTTCACGACGACCCTCAAAGATCTTGTGCAGGTATTTACTGCCCGGTGCGGCAAAGTTGGCCAAACCGCTCACCCGTTTCTTAAGGTTCGGGCTGTAGGTTATGGTAAATTTAGCGGATTAATTAGTGGTTAGGCTTTGAGAGATCCATTTAGTTAATCTTAAGATTTATATTGACAAGCTTACTTCAGGTTTAAGTTGAAAAACTTGGTAAATATAGTGCCGCTGCTGGTGGAACTGATATCAACACTATTAAGCCCGATGTTTGTGGAGTAACTGGTCCAGTCCACCCTCCAGGTGCCCGCCAACTGTGCATAAACAACGCGTATTACATCAAATAAAATTAACAAACATACATGCACCATTAACAATGCATATTGTTACACGCAAACATACCCTGGCATAATCGACCTGGAACAATTCCGACTCATCAAATGAGCGACAGTTTTTGGTCAATACGTCAAACACGTCTGTGTCGGAGGCGCCGCATATCTCTTTGTTGTGATTGATCCGGTCCTCAAAGCGCAACTTTGGCGACAGGTATTTGTCCAGGATGGTTTTCAGTGTGTTTGTGGTCAGCGATCGTTCGTAGCAACCGCTCAGCACCGGCCGCAGCCGCTCCATCAGGTCCGAGATCTTGTCCCAAGTGTCCGGTCGTAGGCGAGTGGTCATCAGCTCCAGGAATGCGAACCAATCGGACGGTTGGTCACTGTTTTCGGCGGTCCATAGGCTCAGGCGTTCTGATATGTTTGGGTCAATTGAATTGAATTAAATTAAATTAAAACATGTGTTAATTTTTGTCAGAGAGAGAGAGAGAGAGAGAGAGAGAGAGAGAGAGAGAGAGAGAGAGAGAGANAGAGAGAGAGAGAGAGAGAGAGAGAGAGAGAGAGAGAGAGAGAGAGAGTACCTAAAGGTTTGATAGTTCCGTTGACATTAAACTCGCCACATGTATAGGTGACCTTATAGTCCTTGTTCACAATCAGGTGTACGCTTCGTAAACGGCGCCCCTCGGCAAACGCCCAGAACACCTTATCGTTGCGATCATAATATAAGTTGCTTTTGTACAAAAACGTCTCCCGATTACTGTCCAAATAATATTACAGTATATTAGAGGTTATTATTGCGGAACTGAGATTGACTCACAATACGTATGCGTCAAACGCGGTCTCGGATCGGCGCCGTATGGCTGCTTTGTCAAAGATAGCGTTCTCTTGTTGATCGGTGATGTAGTCCAATGTCCAGTTCCGAGACAGCTAGATGTATAACAAACATAAGCTAGTTTAAATTATTTAATTATCAAACAGAATAGTTTAGGCCATAGTATTGTAAAGTAACTTAATATTTAGTAACTAACTTGCCATGGTAACTTAACTTTTATTATGCTAATTAGAATAGTTAAATTCTTATTAATTAAGCACAACAGTTTAAGTAATAATTTACGGTATATGTATATTATCATGTTGTAATTATCACAGCAAATAAAGTATAACCTTGTTTAAAACAACACTTACCGCCGATATATCGACGTAATTCAGCTCATCGTCGCTAAACGATCGGCACATTTGGTTCAAAATATTGTACATTTCTCTATCAGGCTTATCGCTCAGGCGATTGTCGCGCCGACACTTACTGACCCTTTCGGTCACATTATTCAGTATACGTTGACCAAAATTCTTGTAATGATCATTAGTGTTGTGGTTGAGTTTGGCCACCAGCTTGGTCACTTTGGCCAGGGCTAGCTCGGACACTCTGCTCATGATGGTGGTCAGTATACGCTTTTTGTCGCGCAATGAGGCGCCTATACCCGGTCGTAATGACAGCGATAGGAGCTCTAAACGTGTTGTTCAACAAAATTAAGCCAATTTTACCAGAATAAAAAATAGTACATTATTTTCATCAAGAGCATACTGAACACGCTTACCGTTAACCCGGACAATACCGTGATCTGCGTACTGATAGCACTCGTACCGCAACAAATGCGTGTCCTTATTGAAGTCCAGTATCGCTTCATTAAGCAATACATTACCGCATCGGGTCTCCAATAGGTTAGAGCCCATGGCGTGCGTGGAATTGCACGTAAGCTGCGATGGGCTGGTTAGGTAAACACAAACATAGACATGGTTAAATGTAAATTAATATTCAAATGTATCTGGGTTATTACTGGTATGTAGTCTCCATGTATTGATTATTAGGCGCCGTGACATTTTTGAAATCGTACTGCGCCGACGGATCGCTGAGTAGGTGCGGTTCCCACCGACCGCACAGTTGGGTAAAGTCCACGTCCTTTATCTCGGAGTTATGGAAACGGATACAGTTGTCGGTCAGCACTTTGGTCTCTGCGTGTGTGTGGTGGTTATGAATTAAGATTGTGTAATAATGTACATGGTAATATTGTAATAATATAATTATGGTAATTAAAATGAATTATATTTACGGTATCTATTATTATTAATACAGTTGTAGCGGACGACTGGCCGCAACTTTTCGGTCACATTCAGCGTTCGCTTAATGTTTCTAAGTCTCAGCTTCAGGTCACTTCTCTGGTTACAGCCCCGGGAGTAGACGTCCAGACGTACTAACAATGCAACAAACAATAGGATAAAAATATTAAATTTCCCAATAAGGTAATCAACAAATTGTTACCATCTTTAGATAGTGAGCCGTCAAACTCGTGACACGAGTAGATCACGAAATAGGTCTTGTAGTCGGTGTCGATGACGGACAGCCGGAGTTCGGTGTCATTGGCAGTCGGGTCGTCGGACGCGTACGGCGCGAACAGTTTACCGGTGTTGCCCTCTTGGCGAACCTCTATGTCGTTTAACCCCTGATCAGACCTATTCGTAGTGTTTTATACAAAAAATAAATAGCGTAAATTAACCATGTTGATGATTTAATTATGTTTTATGATTTATTTACTTTACGGACACCACGTGACTGTATTTTGAGTTTGGTTTTTGTTTGAGCTCCATTGAGGCCTCGGCCGATACCGTGTGTAGCGAATACATGAACTCCCAGTTGCCCACTAACTACAGGGTTTGCAATAAATAACATACAGTACGTTATATGGTGTTAATTATTTGTAAATTAAATACCCTGTTTATATTGATTCTCTTAGCCACATATTTGTCAATGTTTTTGCAGTGATAGTCGCGCAGCGCTAATGTAATTGTGATATTTATTTTACATTAATCATTTTAAATATATTATTCTTACAAACAAATTGTAATCCATATACAACTACAAGTGTGTCCACTAACCTGGTCGTTGTTTAATATTTTTATAGTGACAGTTGGTCTGCTCTACCGGGTGCAAATCGTACATATCGGCCAGATTGAACTGCGCCTCCGCCCGGTTGGCGTACTCGGGCTGAATGGTGGTCTTACGGGACACCACACCGTATTCTTCTACATATATGCATTAAATATTATTAATTAATTAAACAAAACTATTAAAAATTAAAAATAAACATGATCCAAAAAACAACGTACCAGTAATCTGTTTACAGCCATTAACAACGCGACTCTCGCACTGATAGTAAGCCATGTAGTTATCGTAATCGGTGTCCAATATGCTAATGGATCGCTCGCCGGCTAACTTAGCGCCCAACGACGTGAGCTGACCGTCGGGACCCGACTTCAATCGACCGAACCCTTGGATACCGCTTTCGGATCTAAACATTATGGTAGGAAAAAACACCAACAATCACCATAAACAATCACATCTAACAATACTAACAATAGTAACATAATATACCCAAAAAACACGAATACATACATTATATCGTACCAGTACTCGTCGGCGTTGGTCGGGTCGGCCATCGCGCGCAAGTTGTCCTCCATTTTGACGCACCGGAGGTTAGCCACGTTAAGCAGCACGGCGTGCCACGTGCCACGTATACGGTGCAGATCCACATTTCTCATGGACGAGGCCGACATATTCTTGCACTCAGTGGGCGGTCCGGGTGGAGGTCGGGGTGTAGTAGTTGTTGTTGTGGTGGTGGTAATGGGGGCCGTGACCGGCACGGGTCGGGCAGTGCGCCGACCTTTCCGATATCTATGGGAGGCTCGGGCGCGGCCAATCGCCGGCGACGAGTCCACCCAATCGTCGTCTAGCTCTTTGTCAACCTCTCCCCAATCGAGATCGTCGAGTGGGGGCAGGGGTTCGGTGGTTGTAACTGCCGGTGCTGTAGTCCGTGTCGTGGGCGACGGCTTCGGGGGTAAAATTTCCGCCGGCCAATCGTCCTGTTCGTCGATATACCGATTGTCGGCCACAGGTTTGACGGTCGGAGGGGGTGGGGCGGCACAACCCCCAGGCCGGTCATGGCAGCCGCCTATTTGACAATCCAGTTGTTTGTTTGGCCACAGTCTGACTTCATGGCCGTTGCGTTTGGCCAGAGCGTAGGCCCGTGCCTGCAGGCGCCTATTGGGCCGCTTGTCCCGCGAGTACACGCATACAGTGTCTGTTTGAGTGACTGAGAAATTAATACAACAATAATTAATATCATGATGTGTTAGTTTGCCATCTATTAGTTATGTTATATTTACAGTGACTCTGGGATTGTTGTGTGTAGAAAATAAGATAGTTGGTGTAATCGGTGGCCCATACGTGGTAGTAGACTTTTTCGGTGTCACCCGTGCATCGGGTGGTCGATATGGCACCGTTTGGCTCCGGACTGAACACTTGCGCCGCTAACAGTTCGCTGCCCTGACTTTATATAAATAAAATAACCCCCTGGTTATAATTGATTTTACATTTCATCTTTCTCTCTCTCTCTCTCTCTCTCTCTCTCTCTC